TCCTTTGTTTATTTCACAAATATACTGAGTGCCTACTGAGTGCCAGGCGTTATTCTATGAAGAATACACAAAAGAACAAAATAGAAGAATCCCTGTTTTATGGAGCCTGCATTCCAGTGGCAGGAGAGGAAAAACAGTTAACATTAAATTGTAAAAAGTGCTGTGAGAAAAAATACAACAGAGTGCAGGAGAGAGCATGTGCACAAGGTCATTGGAGGATGGCCTTTCTGAGAAGGTATCGTTGAGCAGGCACTGAAGAAAAGAAATGAGGATAAAAGCTATACACATAACTGTGTGAAGGTCCGTCAAATAGGAAATTGCAACTCAAGGGCTCAAGGGGCCCAAAGGAGTGTGTTTGTTATGTTCAGCAGACAGCCAAGAGCTCACTGGTAATTACAGCAAACAGAGTGAGAACAGAAGTGGATGAAGTAGGAGGAGAGATGGGCAGGGTCAGATCACAGCAGGTCTTCTTGGCCATGTTAGAACCTTGGCATTTGCTTAGAGTAACGTGGGAGCGGCAGAAGGTTCTGAGAGGAACAATGATGGGATCTGATTTGTACAAGATCACATGATCGGATGCTGTGTTGGGAGTAAACAAGAGGCGAAAGGGACAAGGGCGGAATCAAAACAGCTAAGAGGCCTGGTACAGGGGTCAGACTGGAAGACGATTTTGTGAGTGAAGATGACAGGAGAGCTGGTGGAGTCTGAAAGAAAATGATTTGCTGGATTAACATCTTTGAATAGGTGAGAGGTGATGTGCTCTAGTGGTATGGCAGCAAGTGGGGTAGCCCCTCTCTTTTCTAGGTTGTCCCTGAGGTGACAATAACTCAAGTTATCATCATAGAGCAAGTGCCACTGCTTCCCTTCTGGTCAAAATCCAGCTCCAGGGCATAAGAACTCTGCTTATATGATTTGGAGAGCATGTTGAAAAACGACCACAAAGTCTCCCCACCTCTGTTTGCTTACCTTTTGCAGTATGACTTGCTGCACCTTGCTTCAACTCCATCCTTTAAGTCTTCAGCACACCACTGCCTTCCTTCCTTCCTTCCTCCCTCCCTCCCTCCCTCCCTCCTTCTCCTTCCTTCCTTCCTTCTCTCTCTCTTCCTCTCTCTCTTTCTTTCTTTCTCTTTCCTTCCTTCCTTCCTTCCTTCCTTCCTTCCTTCCTTCCTTCCTTCCTTCCTTCTTCCTTCTCTCTTTCTTTCTTTCTTTCTCTTTCTTTCCTTCTTTCTTTCTCTCTTTCTTTCTCTCTCTCTCTTTCTTTCTTCTTTTCTTTCTTTCTTTCTTTCTTTCTTTCTTTCTTTCTTTCTTTCTTTCTTTCTTTCTTTCTTTCTTTCTTTCTCTCTTTCTTTCTTTCACTTTCCTTCTTTCTTTTTCTTTCTTTCTCTTTCAACAGAGTTTTGCTCTTGTCACCCAGGCTGCAGTGCAATGGCACAACCTCGGCTTACTGCAACCTCCACCTCCTGGATTCAAGTGATTCTCCTGTCTCAACCTCCCAAGTAGCTGGGATTATAGGCACCCACCGTCATGCCCAACTAATTTTTGTATTTTTAATAGAGATGGGGTTTCACCATGTTGGCCAGGCTAGTCTCGAACTCCTAACCTCAAGGGATCCACCCGCCTTGCCCTCCCAAAGTGCTGGGATTACAGGCGTGAGCCACTGTGCCCGGCCCACCACTGCCTTTCTTTTTATGAAACTCTCCAGGCATCCAAAGAAGGCTGTAAATATGGCAGGAGCTCAATCCACGTTGGTGACTAAAAGAAACAAACTTCTGGAATAATATTGACCAAATCATTAGACCTTTGTTCTTCTCTTCAATTTTCATAATAATAATGAAGAAACTTATTAGATGGAAAAACATGGTGTATTAATAATGATAATATTTCATTAAGGAGTAGCATCCATCATGAGGTGGATAATAAAGTATTATGAACTCCTCTGATACCCTCAAAGCTTTCTCTTCATTGGACATTGCCAAATTTTTCCTCCTGAGATTGCTCTAGAATGCTTTCCTTTGCACTGAGATAATGAAAAATTTGATTAGAATATAAACAATTTCCAAAAATGAGTAATAAATGAAGTTATTTTTAGATGCTCACACCCTGACATGACTTGGTCTGTCAATTTAGCTGGTCACTTAGGGCCTGAATAGGATGCACGAAGGACCACTAGGGGAAGAGAGAAAAACACTTCCTAACACATGGGGCAACCAGAAGGGCAGGCTTGGAGAGGAAGGGCAGAGAAAGCATTAGGAACTAGTGGGTGAGGTCCTAGGACATGTGATGGCATGGGAGAGGGAGGGGACGGTAGCTCAGAAGAGAAATGGGAGGACAGGCACCAACCTGGCAGTTGTGCATAATAGCACGTGTCCTTGAGAGGTGCTAGAAGGAACATTGGAAGACTGAAATCAGAAAACAAGGGTTCTCTAGCAAGTCCTTTCCCTTCCCTGAGCTCATTTTCTCATCTCTAAACTGGAAATAACACTCTTTCCCCTGACTACCTCAGGGATAAATATGAGGACCAAAAGAAGCAAAGCACTCAAAATGACTTTGTAAACTGTGATGCACAGGCAACTATAAGTTTTTGTTCGTTTGTTTTTTATAAAGGTTGGGCATGGTAACTCATGCCTATGACTCCAGCACTATGGGAGGCTGAAGCAGGAGGATCACTTGAGCCCAGGAGTTAGAGGCCAGCCTGGGCAATATGATGAGATGCCTTCTCTGTTAATTTTTTAAGTCTTTTTTTTAAAAAAACATTACATGCTTTAATAAAAGAAATAAGAAAACTTTTTTTTTTTTTTTTTTTTTTTTGTAAGTGTTTACTTTGTCACCAGGCTGGAGTACAGTGGCACTATCTTGGCTCAGTGTAACCTCCGCCTCCTTGGTTCTTGCAATTCTTCTGCCTCAGCCTCCCAAGTAGCTGGGACTACAGGCGCACGTCACCATGCCCAGCTAATTTTTGTATTTTTAGTAGAGACGGGGTTTCACCATCTTGGCCAGGATAGTCTTGATCTCTTGACCTCGTGATCCACCCGCATCGGCCTCCCAAAGTGCTGGGATTACAGGCGTGAGCCACCACCATGCCCGGCCAGAAAACTTTTTTCATGCATGCAGAAAGTAAATGGAAAGACTCTTTCCCTTCATATTGTAGATCATATTAAAAAATCAACTTGGGAAGGGGGAACACATCTAAATCAGCATTGTCCAATATTGGAATTACATGCAAATGAAATGAAAGTGTACCTGTGAAGGGAGGCTCTTTTTCTTACATTTAACAACCAGGAATCTTGAGCCACTTCCCTTTCCCTTCCACAGCTTTTCAGTCTGGTTGCAAAAAACTGAGAATGGGCAAAGATGGGCATTCTGTGTACATTTCTTCCAAAGTTTTTTGGGGGTCGGAGAGAGGATGGGCACTCTGTCAATTCTAGCAATATTCTTCAAAGATTTCTCTACCATTCATCTGTGGAGCTGAAAAGGATGTTCAATACCACTTGTGCCAACTTCCAAATATTACCCGCAAAGAACCAGATAGCACTCTAAGTGTTACATAGTAAGCTAGTGGCAAAGCTGAGACTCCAATGCAGGCTGCACAGTTCTAGTCAAAAGATTCGTGGAGATAGCATGTTCTCTCCTTCCCCTGGAATTCAGACAGGGATCTCAAAAACTTAGATTAGAGTATAGGAAGAAAGTCTCTGCAGAGTCTCACCCCAGTCCTTGTCTACAACTTCGGCTTTACCCACACTCTTTTTATCCAGCCAGACTAACATCTTCTAGGCCTCATGACCCCAGCCTTAGCCTCCCCTGAGAAAATTTTAGCCTTAATCTTCAAGGCAGGTGAGATCACTGGCAACCTATTATGTCTGCTTCATCTCCAGGTCTGGTCTACTCTACTGAGGATGGTTGGTGATGAGTCTGCCCTTGGGACTGACATTACCTCCCTCCTCGACCTTACTAGCCTGTCTCTTCAGGCATTTTGACAGGAAGCTTGGCTCTGCCTCTGGTCACATGCAAAATCCAGATAATGCTGGCGGCTAGAGTTAGTCCTGGAGGCTTGAAAAAGTAATACTAAGGCAAAGAGGTAGTTCCCATCATCATGTCTGCCACTGTACAGGCAGGATGAGTTTCATGCCAACCATGGGAACATAAGCCCACATGCCTCATTTCAGGGAGGCAGGTGGGTACAATTGTGTCCAATTACCCTGTATATTGATTTTAGCACGGAGGAAGGTAGCTAAGATCATGTAAAGCAATGTATCTGCTGAAGAGCATTATATTTTATCTGAGGATCTAATCAGAGACACCAAGGCAGAGATGCCCAGAACTACCACCTTGCCATACACACTACTACATTGTCACCCATGCATTCAGATGTCTATGCTAACGTGTTCAGACACACGCTAGTGCACACATCCAGGCACTAAGATATATTTACACACAGTAAAACATTGTCTCAATCACATAATCAGACATTATCACATAGACTCTTAACTCCTTTACACACGTTAAGGCTCCTCAGCCTTTACTGTTCCAAGTGTAAGATTTCCTTATTTGTCGGGGGAAGGTCAATTCAGTCTTTCACAGCTGACAAGCAAGAATCTATTCATCTTTGAAGGCAAAAACCCAGTTCTCCTCCCCAAACACCAAAGCATCATAGTTCCACATGTTCATGCAAACACACACACACACACACACACACACACACACACACACACACAAAGAAGAAAGATGCATTTCACAGTTGCCTATTTATTTAATACATAGCAGTAAATGGCTGAAGCCTGTTTTCTCCCCATTCCTTGTTAAAATGAAGCAGATGATGAGCAACTAAAGTATTTTCACTCTCAAAATTTATGCATCCAGGTTTCATGTTTGTTTTTTAAAATACAGAAATGAATTTTAAGACCCAGTAAGCTTTCCAGGAGTATGGACTCCTTGATAAGAAATGAAATATAACTGCATAGGAGGTTTTTGATGGTGAACGTGACTGCATTTCCTTTCAGCAAAGGGAAAGCAAAAAAAAAAAAAAATACTTTGGAATCATCAGGAAACTGGAGGAAGGGCGGAAGAACCACCAAAGGAGGTTGGAGAATAGCAGGGCAGGGCGGTGAGGAGGCGCCTTTCCCATCTCAAAATCCCAGCTCTCATGGAACCTCTGCGATCTCCATGTCTGGTAGACATGCACAGAGGGAAGCCAACCAGAGCTCTTTTCTGTTGCCAAGGACATCCATGTGTTATTACTGTTAGCATTATTATTGTTACCTGCATCCAGCATGGCGGGGTGCTGGTACTTACCCCAGTAGATGAGCACGAGAGAAGCCAGGGGAAACAATCTGTTGAAGGCAGGCATCTTCTGGGGCTGGCGGCTTCTGAGGCTACACAGAGAGATTCCTTCGGTCAAGGCCTGCGCCCTCTCAGATTCTTTCGAGGAAACCCTTTGGGACGAACTGCCCCCAGGGGGCGACTTTCTGACCCAAAGAAGGGCCTAGCACCGGTGCCTGGGGAGGCCCCGGGGACTTTTGGAGCCGGGCGGCGGTTCTGGGCCCGAAGCCACCCCAGCGGACCTCCCCAATTCGAGGGAGCTGATCAGCCTCTCCGCGCCCGCTCTCGCCGGCGCTCAGCACCACGGACAGTCGCCTCCCCGCCCACCCCGGAACTCTTGCTTCCACGGGCGCCCCAGCCTCGCTAGTTTGCGCGCAGGGCAAGCTCAGCTCGGAAGGGAGTCGCGCTGCTGGCCTAGCAACCGGGCTGTCGAAGGGTCCAGGTCGATTCACCTCTCGCCTCCCCAGGATCGGCTGCGCTCCAACTGGGACCCTCAGAGCCCCGCGGCTCCGGCTTGGTCCGCCCTGACCGCCTCTCCAGCTGGGCGTGTCTCCACGCCCGAAGCCGCAGGGACAGCCCGTCTGGGCTACAGAATGCGTTCCACGTCGGTCCCGTCCACGCCCGCCCTCGGCTCCCCGGGGAGGTGCAGCGGGGCCGGGAAGAAGGCAGCAGCTCGCGTTCGCTAGGCGATCTCAGAGGTGGGGGTGGGTGGGTGGAGAGGGGGAGCCCCTTCTCGGGAGCTCGCCGCCGGATGGTGCGGGGCCCCGGCCCTGGGCGGCGGGTGATCAGCAACCTTTCTCTAGGCCCCCAGGCCGTGTGTGCTGTCAGCCCTGAGGTGCGCAGGCGGCTCTCCGCCCCCACCACCGCCCCGGACCCTCCCCCTAGTGCACACTCCCCACCCCCTGACAGGCGTTCCCCTCCCAGGGCCCAGCGCCGCGCGGAGCAGGGGCGGAGCCGGGAGCGGCGCAGACACCTCCAACCCGGAGATCTCCGCTCGCACGCTCGCGGGTCTCTCCAGGTCTTCCTCTCGCGCCTCCGCACCTCTCTCGGGCTCTGGCGCACTGCCGCCCTCGGCTCACGCCCTCCAGGCAAACCCACTCTGCTCCCGCAAGAACATGCCGGGCGCAGCTCCGGGAAGGGGAGGGCCAGAGCTCTTTCAGGCAATGATGTCATCTGCCAGGCGCGCGGTTCGCGGTTCCTGGCTTCGCCTTCCCGACCCCATCTCTTCCAGTTCTCGCTGTCTATCCTTTGTCTAACCTTGATTAATTGGTTCCGGACACAGCAAACTCAGCAAGATAATCCCTGTTTAGGGCAAATGGGGTAGGGATGAGGCTCACCTGTTCCTGTGTTCACCTCATCACTCAGTGAGGTGATCCAAATGTCAGCTCAAGGGGAGGGGGGCCGAAGAGGACGCCTCTTTCCATCCCCGGGTTCTTTGCAGTTCTCCCTTTTCCTCTAATTACTTCTTTTTAATAAAACAGCTAGACTGTGTTTGGCCTCTTCCAACTATTAGCCACTCCCTAATCCTAGCAGCTGTTTGAGTGTCCCCGCCCATCTCTGGAAGGGAAACCTGAACCTTTCCATTCAACTACAAACTCAAATTGGCATAATAGATTAGGAATGCCTGGAACTGAAGTAAAAGAAAGAGTAATCCAAGAGCCTCTCATTCAGCCTCCTTTTTGTCCTCCCCTGCTCTCTTTCCAAAAGGGAAGCTTAAGGCTGATATTCCAAAATGGAACAGCAGAGCAACAGCTGACGGTGAGTGAACCAGAAGCAGGAAATGCTCCCTCCTGACATCTCACAGAGCAACAGAATGTCTCCACTTGGATCTTCCTGGGCAGGGAGCCACCAGGCCATAAACTCCGTGCTGTTTGGAGGACTAATCCTTAAAGCATACATACTGTGTTAAACTTGGATGGGAAGTTAAAGTTAACCTAATTCAGTCTCTTTTCCAATTTGTGACTTCCCCCAACAACGTTTCAGATGAATGGACTTGATCTTTTTTAGTGATGAGAGCTTTCTACTTCACAAGTTCACCTTTTGTAATGCTTAAGGAAGTTCTTTATATTCAGTGGAATTCCGTACACTCCTCCTCCCTCTCCAAACTGCATTAAGTGGCCCTAATGCTATTTTCTCTTTAAAAGAGCTATTCTTCCCCACATCCACCCTAAGACATTTTTGTTTGGGGCTACTCTTCCTTAGTTTCTTCCAATGTATTTCCTAGTAGTTTCCAATCCTTTACCAACCTGCTGCTTTTTCAGGAGGATTTTCAGATTCTCAACATGATTCTCCAAGTGACATCCAGAACAGGAACTGATGGTCCCTGTGTGGTCTGACCAGCAAAAATCAGTGGAATTATGACTATGTTTGCTTTGAAGGAGATAGCTATTCAAATACATTTACAGCCACATCTTAGTCAAAATCAGCTTAGGTTCAATTAAAATCCTTGAGTATTTTTCACTTGACTTGTTGCAGAGTCATTTTGTCTTGTACAGGCAATTTTGGAAATTTTATTATGAAACTTTGCACTTATTGATGTTAAAATTTATTAGTTTCAACCAGTTATCACATTCTATTAATACATTTATTGGATTCAGATTCAATCATCTAATATATCTCTCTTCTTCAGCCTTGTTTCATCTCTAGGCTTAACAGTCGCGTGATCCAAACATGGATTAAAAAAGAAAAGCAATAGAAAAAAAGAAAAGATAGTCCCTGCTTCTAAAGAAGACTTCATTCTACCTTGACTTGGGCTACTAATTAACACTTCTTTTTTTTTTTTTTTGAGACGGAGTTTCACTCTTGTTGCCCAGGCTGGAGTGCAATGGTGTGATCTCGGCTTGCTGCAATCTCCACCTCCCAGATTCAAGCAGTTCTCCTGCCTCAGCCTCCGAGTATCTGTGATTACAGGTGCCCACTGCCACGGCTGGCTAATTTTTGAGTTTTTAGTAGAGAGGGACTTTCACCATGTTGGCCAGACTGGTCTCGAACTCCTGACCTCAGGTGATCTGCCTGCCTTGGCCTCCTAAAACGCTGGGATTATATGCATGAGCCACTGCAACTGGCCTAATTAAAATGCTTTAGTACAGTTGCTCAATCATAAAACCCAAACATAGCTCCCTGTTTTCTATATGTACGGCATGACACATTGTGAAAATTTACAGTAAAAAGAATCTGTGAGAGGAATTAGACATCTAGTCATCCACAGGAAAGATGCAGGATCAATGACTTATACTAACACAAAAAACAGACTTTTCAGCAATACATGTCAAGCCTTTCCAAGGTAAAATGAATTCAGTTGTTATCCAAACAATTACTGGGACGTTTAGTGGGGAGAGATCTTCTATTTTCTAAATTTCTTCTAGCGGTTAGAAATTTGGAATAGATTATGGTAAAGTTCCAATCATCTTTGAGGTTCTATGATTTTATCGAAAGCCTCACGGAGACTGAAACACATAGACTGACTGAGATATTTTCTGTCTGATAATTTTATCAACCACTGCCATAACTACCACAGCAAGAACTGGTTCAGCTTTACAAATTTTTTCTTATGTCTATTCATGTGGATTGCTGATATTCATAATGTTTTCTAATTGTTTATCCACCCCATTGTAAATGGTCACTTTGAGGATTTTACCTCTACTTTCCAAATACCACTTCTGCCTTGTATTATTGAAAATAGGAGCATTTAGTCTTTTCATTCTTCTGCTGAGGCCCTTAATTTTTGGCAGTCACTCTCAGTCACTTTTGCAAGTACCTTAAGTTCCCTGAAGGACACTTGGCCTTGTTCTGAGAGTTTTAAAGTCATTTAAATTAAGCTATCCCTTCCTCTTTCCTGCCATTTTAGCTTCAATCCTTTCTCATTGATGTTTACTTGGCCTCCCAATTTAATAATAATTCTCCTCTCATAGTTAATGGGTGAAATCATATGCTCTATTCTCCAAAGAGTAGACAGAACAATCTTCGTATTCTAAAAGATGCCAACTTCTCTTGCTTAAAGCCCTTCCATGACATCTCACAGAACTGAAATAAAATCTAGACTTATCACCATGGTCTGAAGTCAATCTTGTGCCTTGGCCATCTCTCCACACTCATTTCTACCATGGTCTTGTGGACAATTTACAACATTGTCCACAACGTTCCAGCTACACTTAATTTTAAAGAAATGTACCTCATACTTACCAAACTTTTTCCCTCTATTAATATCAATGTTATTATAGCCTTAGCGTCTGTTGTTCCCTCTTCCTGGAACACCCTTCATTCTATGGCTGTTTTTTTGTCATTTTGGTCTTGCCTCAAATGACTTCACCTTGGAGTGACACTCCCTGGTCACTCTAAGCTTGTTTCCTGCCACCTTCCTCTCCTAGAGATTCTCTCTATGTCATCATCCTGATTCTTGTTCTTCATATCTTCTCTCACTATCCATATTGCTGTATTTTTAATGTATGTACTTGCTTATTTTCTGTTTCTCCCATCAGGCTGGTTCTCCTCAGTGAAAGCAGCCTTGTTTGTTCTGTCCACTGCTGTGCTCCCATGCCTAGATCGGTGCCAGGCAGATAGTAGGTCTTCTTCATAAAGAACCCAGATGAATGAATAAATGAATAAACGAGGCAGTGAGAACAGTGTGGAAACAGTGAAGAGCTGAGGCCAAAATCAATAGGGGAACAGAATACCAAGAGTCAGAGAAATAGGAAGAGACCCAGCAAGATGCAAGACCATGGAAGGCCAGAGAAAAGAGGATCTTTAGACTTGAGGGACACTCCTCCTTAGAGGGGACTCCAGCTAATTATGCTCAGAGATTGAGGAAGAGGATGGAGTACAAAGCCTAGGTATTCAAGGATCTTGAGGTGGAGGGAATGGCATGACTCCAATGAAGGAAGAATGGAAGGGTAGCTATGCAGGGAGATATTAGTTTTCTTGAGGAATGAAACACATTCACCGAGACTATTGGAGAGGAATTAGAGACAGGAGCCCTGGACGTGACATTGTAAGTAAAGGTATGATGTGGGACCTTAAGACACACACATTGGTCGTGGTAAAGTAGGAAGCCATATTATCCATTGAGTGTAGATGGTAGGAAGTTACTGGGGAACCTGGGACATGGGAGATGGTCTGAATCACTATGGGGACCTTTCTGAAGCATAGAAAAATGTCAAGAGAAGCTTTTCATGATCAACATATACCTGAACTAAGAGTCAAGAAGCAAAAATCAGAGCCCAACCTAGGTAAGTCAAGTGACCTGCTTTTGCTGTTTGAAGTGGATTTTGAAAAATAGTGCACACCCCATGGGACAAGGAAAGGGAAGAAATATGTTCATTTTAAACTCTGGCCAAAGAGTACATATGGGACTGAGAGATATCAGGTTCCTCCAAACTGTTCCCTCATCCTGACAGCCAGCTGTGCGCTGCTGTCACCAGTCAAGGGAAGTTTGGGATTAGAATAGGAAGCAGTGACACAATGATTAGATTATGAAATTCCTTCCTGGATTTGCACATGGCACAGAACTTGGCAGGTAAGATGGAGCCAAAAAAATGTTTGTTTAAATGAACTGAATGTCATCTGACTGATTAGGGAAGCCAACGCTTTCCTGACATCCAGAAGAGCCCTGCCCACCTCGAAAACACCGTGTGCACAAAAGGAATGCCATCTGCTCTTGACCAATCTCTGGAAAGCCCAGGGTTATGTCTCAGCCAGAACACTACTAATATTTAGTTTTGATGATCCAAACATGTAAATGGAAATAAAGAAAATATGATCAGTAGTAAAGTACTTTAAGCTCTCCAGAAGCAAAGTTATATTTCAAGTATTGTTATTACCATAGCATAATTTTTTATGCATTTCTGGCATGCATACTGCTGAAGCTCTTAGGATAGGCAGAAAGAAAAGATGTATATTGTTTAATTTTTCACACTGCTATAAAGAACTACCTGAGACTGGATGATTTATAAAGAAAAGAAGTCTAATTGACTCACAGTTCTGCATGGCTGGGGCAGCCTCAGGAAGCTTACATTTGTGGCAGAAAACGAAAAGGAAGCAGACACATATTACACTGTGGCAGGAAGTGGGGCGGGGAAATACCACACACTTTTTTTTATTGCATTTTAGGTTTTGGGGTACATGTGAAGAACATGCAAGATTGTTGCATAGGTACACACGTGGCACTGTGATTTGCT